CAGTTTATGGTGATTGCTTGTGTAGACTCCCGGGTTTGCCCTTCCAACATCCTCGGATTCCAGCCAGGAGAAGCCTTTATGATCCGGAATGTTGCAAATCTTGTTCCTTCACTGGAGGTATTTGTCTATTTCTATTCTGCATTTCTTGAAAACTGTTCCTTTAATTCATTTTATGATTTGCAATATGCATGATGGTGTTGTTTCATTTTTTGGTGTTTCTTTTTACAGAGTGGACCATCAGAAACAAATGCTGCTCTTGAGTTTGCGGTGAACACCCTTGAAGTAAGTATTTCTTGTGAACAAATACACCATCTTTTTCTGTTTCTTAGCACTAAGATCAGATATACACAAGGACACCAGCTACTGGTAATTGATGAGTCTGAAAAAGGGAAAGTAGAGGCATGATGCCAAACTAAGATAGTAATTTTATGATTTTAATTGTTACCTGAAGTGTTGCTTTTGAATCTGCTATGTAATGTGCCTGAAATGGTTATGTACTTGCATCTTGTGGGTACAAAATGGTCGCTGCCTCCAGTAGGTGGAAAACATATTTATCATTGGCCACAGTTGCTGTGCTGGAATTCAAGCCCTTATGAATTTGCAAGATGATGAAGAATCAAGGTTTCATCACAAAAATCCTTATCTTTTGCTTCTGTCACCTATTCATTTGGTTTTCATTGAAACTTTCTAGCAGTACTTTCTGATCAACTTACTCACTGCTATTCACTTTTTGTTTTCGCAAATCGCAGTTTTGTCAAAAGTTGGGTTTCTAAAGGAAAAGTTGCCAAGTTAAGAACACAAGCTAAAGCAAATCATCTCAATTTCGATGAGCAATGCAGATATTGTGAGAAGGTGACCGTTTTCTTCTTAAAACTCTGATTTAAAATGTGCTGTTCTAAAATGAGATGTGACTTCATGAGAACATCGTTAGTACAAGTTGAGACTTAATGGATGGATTTTACTTTGATTTCAACCATACCCTAATTCCATTTAACTTGTTACAGGAATCAATCAACCGGTCATTGCTGAACTTGCTAACATATCCATGGATAAAAGACAGAGTGAGGAAAGACTTGCTATTTGTTCATGGAGGATACTATGATTTTCTTAATTGCACGTTCGAGAAGTGGACACTAGATCTCGAAGGAAACAATATTGAAGAAAAGGGTAGCTACTCAGTGAAGGACCATGAAATCTGGTGCTGAGTTTCATGCTTCTCCTTCCATTCCCCAGTGTTTCCCACGTTACAAGTATATATTGTAATTTGTATTCAATCCACCTTTTTTTCTAGTAAATATTGTAAAAATAAGGAACTGATTATTAATAAAGACAAAACAGATCATTTTTAAGTTTCTCAAATTCAGAGCAGCTATCAAGCTTGGGATTATCTTATGATTGCTCCACAGCCTCCACTGCCTAACAAAAGGAAGACTTGATTGATCCATTTAAGTGTTCAGAGACCAAATTAGATAGAAAATAAAGTTTGTTGGACTATATCGAAGTTTACATAAAAGTTTAAGGTACTGTACTATTAGAGAGGAGACTTATATTTGTAGAAGATGTTTGGTAAAATTTAAAATGCATTTATTTTAAAAAGTAAATTTTCTTTTCTATAAATTTAAAATTTTATTAAAAATTTTCAAAACATTGGTTTTTAAAAATACTTTTAAGTAAGATACTTCTAGGATATATAGTTTTCATGAAACTTGTTTAAAAGTTATTTTTAAAACTAATTTTAAAATTTTCTTTTAATAAAATTTTAAACTTATAAAACAAAATTTATTTTTTAAGTTACTGTTTTTTAAATTTTGTTCAA